CAGGAGAGGAGCCTGATAACTAAAAGATCTGCCTCCCATTCTACTTTTAGAAATTCCAGGAACCACTAGTAAACCTGCAGATTGAGAGCAAAGTGCCCTTTTAGGAACATAAGGAACAATCAGATCTCTGATATAAGATGGAGCTTGGCCATTTAAGGCTGAGAAGGAGGATTTTAAATTCTATTCTGGATTTAACAGGAAGCCAATGAAGAGAAGCCAGGATTAGAGATATGTGATTTTCATCAGAACTCTGGCTGCAGCATTTTGGATCAGCTGAAGGCTTTCAACTACAGTTTTTGAACTTTCTGATAATAAAGAATTACAATAGTCCAGCCTTGAAGTAACAAATGCATGGACTAGTTTCTCAGCATCACCCCTGGACAGGAGATTTCTAATTTTTGCAATATTCCGCAGATGAAAGAAAAAAATTCTAGAAAACTCTTTGATATGAGATTTAAATGACAGGTCCTGAGTAAAATAGCTCCAAGATGTTTTACTTTATTATCTGAGATCAGTTTAATCCCATCCAAATGATGTGACTGACTAATCAGCTTCTTTTTCAAATAAACTGGTCCAAAGACTATAACTTCTGTTTTGTCTGCATTTAGGAGCTTCAAGACATGCCTGTAATCTATGTAATGGGTTAGCTTCATCTGGATTTATAGAAAGATATAGTATCATCAGCATAACAGTGGAAATTAATCTCATACTGTCTAATAATTCTACCGATTGGTAGCATATATATATCGTAAAGAGAATTAGTCCTAGCACTGATCCCTGTGGTACTCCACAGGTAACCTTTGAACATGAGGAAGATTTGTCATTGATGTGAACAAACTGAAATAGCAACATTAAAAGTCTTTGGTACATATTCCTGTAACATGGAGGACAAGATCAAAGGGAATACTTCCTTTAGGTCTAAATATTCATTGTTGGCACCTCAGCTGGCAGTCTGTTGATAATACCTTTAGCAGTACCCCTCAATAAATAAATATTTTGCAACAACATACATTAATTTAATCATTTTGGTGGATTTAATGATTTTAACGTGCTTCCTCTTATGGTTTATTGCTATATATAATATTTGGTTAATGTAATAGATAAATAAATGTTACACCTACTTTCATTACTATTTCACAGTATAGAGGTCCTTCTCAAAATCTTAGCATATTGTGATAAAGTTTATTATTTTCATTATTGTAATGATGAAACTTGAACATTCATATATTTTAGATTCATTGCACTCTAACTTAAATATTTCAGGTCTTTTATTGTCTTAATGCAGATGATTTTGGCGTACAGCTCATGAAAACCCCAAAAAACCTATCTCACAAAATTAGCATATTTCATCCGACCAATAAAAGAAGAGTGTTCTTAATAACAAAAAAGTCATCCTTATTTATGTACAGTTATACACTCAATACTTGGTCGGGAATCCTTTTGCAGAAATGACTACTTCAATGCGGCGTGGCATGGAGGCTATCAGCCTGTGGTTCTGCTGAGGTGTTATGGAGGCCCAGGATGCTTCGATAGCGGCCTTTAGCTCATCAGTGTTGGGTCTTGTGTCTCTCAACTTTCTCTTTACAATATCCCGCAGATTCTCTATGGGGTTCAGGTCAGGAGAGTTGGCAGGCCGACTAAGCACAGTAATCCATGGTCAGTAAATCATTTAGCAGCGGTTTTGGCACTGTGAGCTGGTGCCAGGTCGTGCTGAAAAAAGAAATCTTCATCTCCATAAAGCTTTTCAGCAAATGGAAGCATGAAGTGCTCCAAAATCTCCTGATAGCTAGCTGCATTGACCCTTCCCTTGATAAAACACAGTGGACCAACACCAGCAACTGACATGGCACCCCAGACCATCACTGACTGTGGGTACTTGACACTGGATGTTTCTGGTGGCTTCAGATGTTTCTACTCCAGACTCAGTCCACTGCTTCAGCAGGTCCCCCAAGGTCTGGAATCGGCCCTTCTCCACAGTCTTCCTCAGGGTGCGGTCACCTCTTCTCGTTGCATTTTCTGCCACACTTTTTCTTTCCCACAGACTTCCCACTGAGTTGCCTTGATACAGCACTCTGGGAACAGCCTATTTATTCAGAAATATTTTTCTGCGTCGTATCCTCTTGCTTGAGGGGGCCAATGATGGCCTTCTGGACAGCAGTCAGGTCGGCAGTCTTACCCATGATTTTAAGTGATGAACCAGGCTGGGAGTTTTTAAGCCCTAAGGAATCGTTTGCAGGTGTTTAGAATTAATTTGATGATATAGATGATTAGGTGCGTTTAGAGACCTTTTATCGTGATATGCAAATTTTGTGAGATAGGAATTTTGGATTTTCATTAGTTGTATGACAAAATCATCCGTATTAAGACAATAAAAGACCTGAAATATTTCAGTTAGTGTGCATTGAATCTAATATATATGAATGTTCAAGATTTATCTTTACATTATGGAAAATAATGACCTTTATCACCATATGCTAATATTTTGAGAAGGACCTGTATTCATTTCATAATGATTTTGGAAACAGCTAATGATGTCTCTGCAAAGTGTTGCAAACGCCTTCCAATTTGCTGTCGTTCACCCAGCAGCCTGTATCGAGGGCTGTAAGAGCGTTTGTATGTATCCGGAATGCAGGTCTTTGCCTGTGTATGAATGTTGTGCGGTTGTCAGAATGTGAGTAATGGTTTTTCAGCTGAATGACTGCAGTGCCACATGGATATCGGAGCCAGATATTTTCCACAGCTAAGCCTGGGGATCACATGTCCCCCCAGCCTCTATGGTACGCACCAACAGGCATAAAGGTCCGAGATGAAACAAACTCCCTGGACGTGTCCCTCCATTAGGACAGCGAGCCCCAGAAATAGCCCCTCTATCGGGCCACTCGCTCAGAATCCATTACGCAGTCAGAGACAGTGATTTAGATGCTTCTTTCTTAATCTGAAATCTACGTGCTAATCTTGTGCTCATTTTGTTGCAGCCCTACAATTACCATACCTTTAAACTTTCCACTGCTGTTTAAGCTCAGCGCACAGTTGTCAAACATAGTTATATAAATATAGAAAAGCTGTAATTTAAAAACTTTGGCCTGTGATGGAAGGCGAGTTTTTTGTATGGCTGATTTTTTTCTCTGTTTTGTTTGACACCACTGTGATTACTTCTTTTATATGAGGATAAACCAATGACATTACATGTCTTTTCTTTGTCTCTGTCTTTGTAGGACTCATTGGCTGACGCAGGGATCGTTGATGAACACTATCGTTTAGAAGGTAAACTCAGATCTTTGATCCTCTTGTATTCTCTTGTGGTTGCTTTTCGTTCAATTTATTTATCATTTTGATTTTGGGTATCTCTTTACTCCAGGTCATCCCTCTAATGTCCCATTTTTTTACCTCCCCTCCTTTGCCCCCTTCTTCAGCAGTTGTAGGCAGAGTGCTTCAGCTCCTTCATATTTCTCTCTGATGTGATCCTGGATTAAGAGCCCTGGGAGGAGAAAGTCTCCTTCTCATTTAAAGACAGTGTTGGACGTGAGCTGCAGGCTGATACTTACCATTTAGTGAGATCGGCCCAGAATTGGGAAGAAAAGGAAAATAAATTTTACTTTGATTTCAGTTCAGCTTCACTGGGTCGTAGCAGAAAGAAGATGCATGTTGGCCAAAGCTGTCCTCCCCGGAAGACAGATGCTAGTCATTAGATTATATTTCTCTATTCATCCTCAGTGATTAACTGGAAAGTGAGAATCTGGGAATTTTTATGACTTCCTAAAGTCTCAATCTTTTAAAAGCAACTCTATACCAGTAACTAGGCTTTACTGAAATACATAATTCCCTTTTACAATAGGAAACTAAATATACAGCTTATAGCAAATAATATATATGCTCCTAGGACATAAGGAGAAATGTGAAGAACTTATAAAGACCTAAATAAATTACACAGAGGCCAGTGATGTTGGTGTGAGAAGTAAGTAAAAAAAAAATGAACACAGAAAATCAACATCAGGAAAAAAAAAAAACAGAGCAGATGAAAGACCTCTTTCATAAAGGCTTAAGGAAGCACATCCAGAGAAAGTTTTTTGAGAATTAAAAGAGACATTTACTGCTTAAGTTGCAAAAGAAATCAAAAGAAATCAGAGATAAAAGTAGCCAATGAATGCTTTACATCAGCACTACTTGCCAACATGTGAGAAAGTATAAACATGTCTTTTCAAATTAAAAGTTAGATTAGAAGAGCCTAACTTTTAATTTGTTTATATAAATAGATTACAGAAAAGTCAGCATGATCTGTTCGACACTTGAATATATTTTAATAACCTCAGTCAGTTCCAGAAAAACATGTATGTTTCAGGAAATGCTCATTTTTATGGCTCTCTGTGTTTATGAGAGCCAGTTATGTATCCCAGATCTGAGATCTCCTCATACTACGTGGCAGCTCTCCCAACCTGTTTGTGTGTGAAAAATAGTCTGCACGTGTGTAGGGAGCGTGTAGAGTGCCAGCCTCAGCTGTTGTCATCTTGCCCCTCGGATCTGATGTACGGCCAATTCCTTGGCGGTGGCTCCACTTATAAAGAGCTGGCTTCTGTCTGTGATGGGGAAGGGGTCAGGAGGAGGGGGGGGGATAGCAGATTACCGTTGCTCCTTCTGGAATTTCATTAGCTCCAAGATAAGTATCGTTTCACCATATTGAACCTGCCACCGAACAGATTTACCCCTCGCGCACAATGTTCCCTTTGAACACCTCAAACGTTCAGACAGCAGGACCTCAAATGTTGCTCCTCTCCAAAAAGTTGGTAAAAAGCTCCCTGGGATGAAGCCTTTCATTTCTGGCATATTCGCCCGCCCAGGTCCGCTTTGATCTCCGTTGGATCAGGAGGAAAGAAATTGGTCTGTTGTGTCTGCTCTATTGGCGAACAAACAAACAGTGTTTCAGATTTAACTTGGCTTAATTAATTAAAGATTCTGTTTTACTGCTGGTTTGATCCTCTTCCAGAAGGTCTGAGAATGGAACTTCAAAGTAGTAGAAGAGGGTGGGAGAGAGAGGCGTGGTCTGTGTAACTCTGTGGGTGTGTGCTTCCTGCATTTAATGTGAACTTCTTTATACGTTTTAAATATACATTAAATTGAGCTGATTAAGCATCCATGACTGAGACAAACCTGCAGAACAAGAATGAAACTGCAAGTACGGGGCATGAAATGTCTGCTTAACTGTAATTTATGGGAGCTTGTTAGGTTTCAAATCTGTTGTCTCAACTATCAAGCAATGCAGCATTACTTCTGACAGCTCAAACATGATACAAGACCCCGGAAATAGACGGAAACATTATCATGTTTTCATCCACCATTGTGGGCAGCCTTGAGTGTATCAAACCAATAATACGTCACTAAAATCTGTCACTTCGGACATTTAAAAACAACCCTTGAAATTAGGAACCGCGTGGTTGGAGTAAAAAACAAACAAACTTGAATTATTTCAATAACTTCCCATTTTGGTATTGCCAGGTTCACATGGCAAAGATTTTAGAATGAAGCTAACAAACTGCTTACATGATAAGTAGCAAGGAATCTTTTTGTTTAACCCATGAGTTATTTATTTATTTTCCTCGCGAAACAATTCCTGATCGACCAAAGGTCACATTAGACAGGCTGGATCCTCGTCCATGCTCGGGGGAACATTAGGGATATAAGTAAATACGTCCCGTTGGTCCCCAAATTGACATTATAGCATTTTTAAAGTCCTTCTTAGGAGTCTAGATCACTCACACAGCACAGCCGCGTTACCTCATGAGTTCGTCTTAAAGGAATAGTACACCCAAAACATGATTAGCCTTCATTTTCTACTCACCCCCATGCTGAACAACACTCTGGAGTACTTTTTTGATATCTCAAATGCATCTGGAGATCTGGGAGGCTTCTTGCTGTCTGCTGACATTCAAATAA